CTAGACATCCCGACTCCTGGATCGTACGCTGAGGCGATCGAGGGTCCCTACTCCTCACAGTAGCAGTCAGCCATGGACGCAGAGATGGCTTCCTGGAAGTCCACAGGCACCTACGTCGACGAGGTTCCCCCACCTGGGGCGAACATCGTCAGTGGCATGTGGATTTTCAGGGTGAAGCGGCCGCCGGGTTCTCCGCCTGTCTTCAAGGCGCGTTACGTGGCTCGAGGCTTCAGTCAGCGGCAGGGAGTTGACTACTTTCAGACCTTCTCTCCCACCCTGAAGATGACCACTCTTTGGGTGCTGCTGCACATAGCCGCTCAGCGCGACTACGAGCTTCACTCTCTTGACTTCAGCACAGCTTTCTTGCAGGGCAGCCTGCACGAGGAGATCTGGCTGCGCCGCCCACCTGGCTTCACTGGGTCGTTTCCTCCTGGTACCCAGTGGAGCCTCCGGCGGCCAGTCTACGGTCTCCGCCACGCGCCCCGTGAGTGGCACGACACACTGAGGACTACACTTGCGGCTCTTGGGTTTGCTCCTTCTACTGCCGACCCGTCGCTGTTACTACGCACCGACACCTCTTTGCCGCCGTTCTACATCCTCGTATACGTCGACGACTTGGTCTTTGCCACTGCTGAGACTGCTGGACTCGCCCACGTGAAGTCCGAGCTGCAGAAGAGACACACGTGCACAGACCTGGGTGAACTGCGCAGCTACCTTGGCTTGGAGATCACCCGGGACAGAGCACAACGCACCATTACCCTGACTCAGTCATACATGGTGCAGCAGGTCATTCAGCGCTTCGACTTCACGTACTCCTCGCCTTAGGCCACTCCTCTGTCTACCCGCCACTCGCTCTCAGCTCTGCCTTTGGATGAGTCCGTAGAGCCGAGTGGCCCGTACCCAGAGCTTGTTGGCTGCCTCATGTACCTGATGACCTGCACTCGACCTGACCTTGCATACCCTCTTAGCATCTTGGCACGCTATGTTGCTCCTGGGAGACACCGACCAGAGCACATGGCTGCAGCGAAGAGGGTGTTGCGCTACTTGTGGAGTACGTCGGGCATCGGGCTAGTGCTTAGAGGGCGGCGTTCAGTGGTCCTCACAGGTCACGCAGACGCTTCTTGGGCTGACGACCAGGCTACGCGGCGGTCGTCACAGGGTTACACCTTCAGCCTTAGTTCTGGCTCTGTTTCGTGGCGGTCTACCCGCTTGTCTTCTGTTCTCGGCTCTAGCTGGGAGGGTGAGATCTACGCGGGAGCCATGGCTGCACAGGAGCTACGCTGGCTCACCTACCTGCTGACTGACCTAGAAGATCCGCCTCGTTCTCCTCCAGTTCTGTACGTAGACAACAAGGCCATGCTGGCCTTGTGTCGGGAGCACAGACTGGAGCACAGAACGAAGCACATTGCTCTTCGGTACTTCCTTGCTCGTGAGCTACAGCAGCGTGGTCAGCTGCGCGTTGCTTACGTGGCCTCTCAGGTCAACACTGCTGATATCTTTACCAAGGCACTTCCGCCTTGTGATCATCAGGGCTTCTGTACAATGCTAGGTCTTGTGCCTACTTGGCCTCACTTGCTCACTTCTTGACCTTTCTTGTACTCTGATCTATCTATACCTGCACTTGCTTGTTTGCTTTTATATATGATCTTGCATGCGAACTGGCCTTGTGGCCTTGAACTTGTGCTCGGAATGTGTGGTGACGTTGTGATCCACCCTGAGCTTACCGTGCTTTGCTTGACTGGTCTTGTGACCTCTTGTTCTCCCCCACTTTGCCTATGGGGGTGTGTCAAACTTATATGCTCTAGTCTGTGTAGGCTGTAGTGGGGTAGACAATATGGGGTACAACACTTTTAGGTTTTCCTACTTGTACCCACCTGTTTCCTAGTGCATTCATTCCTCATTTCTTCACAGTCGATGCGCTCGCTCTCGTGCATATATCCCACCTGCTCGCATAGCGCCAGAAATCCACTCGTGTAGTCTTGGACGGAACCGAGTTGGCGCCAAGTGTGGAGCTTCTGTCGCGCCGCGATGGAAGCCGCGATTGGCTCGAAACGAGAGCGCAGACGTGCGCACTACGCGTCCCACGTGCGATACTGGGGCACCTCCACGAAATATGACGGCGCCTTGGGTCCGGTTTGTCCTTCCCTTGTTGGTAGAGTCGCGTAGTCCGCCGGCTTCGTGACGATGACGCGCCACCAGTCCATGGCGGGTCCTCGCAGCAACGACACGGCGTAACGAATCTTCGCCGTATCCTCCGAGACGTAGTTCGCGTCGAAGAAAACGTTCAACGTGAAGAGCCACGCTTGAACGGTAGGACCACCCCGCTGACTTGGGTCAAAGCATGTCGGACGCTGCGGCTTTAGCGGCATCGGCGACGGAAGAGTTGATCCGCCGGTCGGCATTGAGATCGTGACTTGAGGCTGAGTCCTGGCCGCATTCGTCGCGTCGGGGTGTGTCGTGTCGTGGTCGTCGTCTCCGTCATAGTGGACGACGCCATCACTTGCGGCGCTCGCGGGTTGCCCTACACTTCCGTGCTGTGATGTTGTGGTGCGGGCTGAATCGGAGTGCGAGGTGCTTGGGATTGTGCTCGTGTGAGGTCGTTTTGCAGGGACGAGCGTTCTGCCGTCAGCGTCGCGATTTTCTCGGCGCTCTCGTGGATTTGTCGCAGCAGATCGTTCAGGTGCTCCTGCGTGAGAGTCGTGACGTCGATGTGTTCAGCCATTTCGAAGGGCGTCGGCTCGTCTGAGTCTAGGCGCAGTCCTGGCTGCACGCGTTTACGAGAGAACGCGAGGACAGCGGCTCCTAGGTGCTAAGGTACGTGAGTCCCTTCAAGTGAAAAATCAAAAGTTGATTTCCTGGGGTGCGGAGATGCGCGGTCCGAAAGAAAGGGGCTCTGATAACCAAGTGTTACGGGTGCAATGAATCGAAGTAGCGAGAATTGCACTAAGGTGTCAAACGAGTACAAAGATGTGAGCGAAGGCATGAGCGAACATTTATACGCGAAACATGCAAACGGTAACATGGTGCGTGCAAGCTAGCTAGTGCTATGCTGGCAGCGAGGCTCGGGCTAGTCCCGAAGCGCAGGCCGACACGGCCGGGCCAGCAGTGCGAGGTTTGGCAAAACGGTGCGCGCGAAGTTGGCGAAGTCCCGTTAGTAGTAACGGGCGAACAACGGGTGTTGCTATACGCGATGTAGTCGGGCTCCGTAAGGAATGTCGAGAAAATTCCTTACACTTATCAACGAAAATTCCGCGGACTCAGTTTTTAGAAATTTAACGCCTACAGAACAGCGCCGATATGCGAGGCAGCAACATCCGCGCAACACAACCAGCATGAATGCGCCTAGAAAATGCACGGAAGGCTACCGCGGTCAAATTGATGCGGAACCCTAAACGCCTGCAGAACAACGCCATTGGTGCTGTTGGCAGCTCACCTCACCTTCCTCAGCAGTAAGTGAACCTAGCTGATCCTTACGGGATCTTCGGTAAGGTGATTCGCAACCCGCCTCTCTGATTAGCTGATTCTTCATTGGAGAATCAGGATAAGGCTCTCATCCACTCGGAGCTCGTCCACTTGTGTGAATGCCAGCTCCATTCCACATACTTGTCATGCTGCTCATTCGTGGGCAAGTACCGCACTTGCAGAGCAGACCACCCCCCGCCCCATCCACCCATCGGGACATTCCCTCTCACACAAAGCACGGCACTGAATTGAACGTGCCTTTGACGGGGGATGACGAGTGTTGCGTGCTGGGTGCGTGTGTGGGTGTTGGCGGTGCTATGTGTGTGGTGTGGTTATTCCGCCACGCAGTTGAGGTGAAGGCCAGGCCAGTCATTGGCCGAGGGAAGGAATGGAAAATTCTGTACATTACGCTTTGGTACAGTAAAGAACGTATGCTCGCATTGTTTTGTGAACTCACTGCCACTGCCCGACCAGTGCACTGTAGGACAACGCAGGAACAAAGCTGGAGGTGGTGGGGGTGAGGGGAGGAAACATCGGACGAAACCCTAACGCCACTCGCGCAGCCAATGGGAGGCCCGACGAGAGGGCCAACGAGACAAGGGCTTCGCTTCTAGGCCCTAGGCTGCTCGAGCTTCAAGTATCTTCCTCCTCAACAGGGTTGACATGGCCGACGATTTGTTCATCAACGTTGAACTTCAGCGTCGACGATTTAGTCTCACCATTTTGGAAGTAGGCATGATATTTCATAACTAAGATACGGAGAGTGGCGTGAAATTGATTCACGACCGACTTCCTGACTGGATGGAACCGTTATTGTTCGCACGGGCGCAACGCTTTCACGTCTTATAGCAGCAACCAGAGATATCTAAGGCCCTGTCGTTAACATGGAGACTTGTTTCTCCCCACAGCTTCGTCCTAGCAGTATGTACCGCCATACCGCTTTGCACCACGCATCATGCGGTAAGCTTTCGCTTCCCCGCGCTCACGTAGGCAGGCCCTTAGTACCACCACACATACCACTGGCCCATTCATTCCAAGCTCGCTCACGGGTGGCCCTCAATGTTTCCGCCGCCGCTGCCGCCAGTACTCCGGATCCTGCGGGATCTACGCCGCTGAACACTGGGGCACGCATCCCTCGTAGGGTTGGCGAGGTTGGTTCCGCGTGTCAGAACCTGATTCGGCAGCAGCAGAAGCGGGCCCTGCGCAGCGAGACTCATGCAGTTGCTGCACCTGACCAGTACCGCGTGGCGGATTCACCCGTGGATTTCGCGTCGTGCGACGTGCCAGACGACGCAGACGTCGAGTTGCTGCAGTGTTTTCCCGATTTCGTCCTTGACCCGTCAGAGAGCGACGGGTCAACCCGGCTATTCCGGAAGAGCTTCTCCCTGCATGATACTTCTCCCGCGAGCCGTTACTTTCCCGGAGGCACAGATAGCAGCGAAGGGTACGTCTCAATGCCCGATGCGTCGTCGTCGTCATCGCCGTCCGCGTCGCGCTTCTCCCTGTCTTCCGAGGCCGCAAGGCCCCCCTATTCGTCGATGTCCCCTCGGGACGCAATGCCGCTGCACGCGTCGCCAGGTTCACCGGTGACTGATACCAGTCTCGTGCAGCCGTCCTCATCCCCGCGTGACCCATCTCGACCGCAGCCGCCGCCTGTGCGCGTGGATGAGTTGAAGCAGGGAGCCATCCGCGCAATCATCCGCGCGGAGGAGAATTACCGCCAGGCGTTCCACGCGCTGCAGGAGGCGCAGGCGCGGCTGGAGAGCACGCGCATGATGGCCGCGGAGCTCAACGCCATTCCGCCGCTTTCGCTGCCGCCGTCGCCGCACTCGTCGCCGGCGCACTCGCCGCCCGCGTCGCCGTTGCGGTCGGCACCGCCGTCGCCGTCGCTGTCGCGGTCGCCCAGCGCGTCTCGACTGGACACCGTCGAAGCGACGTTGCTAGATTTAGACGTACACCTGGACGCGAATGGGTCTAGCGTGGAAAGCGCGTGGTTGGAGGGTGGTCTGGTGGGCGGCATGGATCGAGCGGCGGAGCCGGAGGTGGTGGTGGCGATGATGGACTCGCTGGCGGCGCAGAGAGAGCGCTCGCGGGAGTCGCTGCGGCTGGCGGAGCAGGTGCTGCGCGACCGCCTCGGTGAAGCGCACGTGCAGGTCAGTCGATGCCCTTGCTTGTCCTGCGTCCGCTCTTGCCCCCTCCGCCGTTCCCACATCCGCGCTTCCTCCACCCCTCCATTTCCCCTCCACCCCCTTTTCCCTCCCATTCTCCTCTCTTTGCTCTATCCGGTCCCGTATCGTGCTGCTCTGCACTCTTTATCCGAAATTCTCACCCGCCCACGCATCGCCTTCTCCCTTCTCCCGCCCGGTTTTCCCTCACGCCCGTTTTCCCTTCTCGCCTGTTTCCCCTCTCTCCCGTTCCCTCTTCCGCCCGTTTTCCCCTCCCGCCCGTTCCCTCTTCCGCCCCTTTTCCCCTCCCGCCCGTTCCCTCTTCCGCCCGTTTTCCCCTCCCGCCCGTTCCCTCTCCCGCCCGTTTTCCCCTCCCGCCCGTTCCCTCTTCCGCCCGTTTTCCCCTCCCGCCCGTTGCCCCGGCTGTCGTGCGTGCGATGCAGAGCCAAGTGATCGACCACCACATAGAGATGATGGACTGCGGCGGCCAGTACCACGTCGCGCACTGGCTCGTCGACAAGGTGCAAGAGATCGCCTCCGCTTCCTCGTCCGCCGACTGGAGCACTGCTAACGCCGCGTGCAACGGCGCCATCGGCGGCGCACCGGCCGGCGCCGGCGCCGTTGACGGCGGTGCTGCGGCGGCGGCGCCGCTCGCCGTGCCTGTGAACCTGGACCTGGCGGCGCAGGGTTACGACGACCACGCAGTGCGGTTCCTGCAGCACCTGCCGTACGATCGAGTGCTCAAGATCCGCACCATCGCATCTGACCCGCCTCTCGCGCTGCTGCCGTCGCCGGATGCGCCCGACGCAGCGGAGAGCAGGGAAACGGTTACGCGGACGGCGGATTCGTCGTCCACGTCGCCTGGCGAAATCTCCGCCAGCTCGGCGAAAAATTCTGCCGTTACTGCTGAGTCGGTGTCTGCGGTATCAGCGGGCGAGCAGGAGGGAGCAGCGGAAACCATGCCGTTGCGGAGTGCCGTGCAAAGCGGCCAGCAGATCGCGTTTCAGGCGCCCTGGGCTAATCTCCTGCCAGGAACCGTTGGCTGGTCACCGCCCGGTCTCCTCCCAGCTCCCGCTGCTGCTAACGAGCGCCAGCCCCGCGAGACCAGGAGTCGGCGCGCGCGGGTTTCAAAGCGCACTGCGCCTGCTGCGCCCCCCGCGGATACTGTGGACGGCGGAGAGTCTTCCGCGGAGCCGGTCTGGCTACCCGCGTCGAGCTTCGAGCTGGCGGAAGCAGCAGCTGCACTGAGTCAGACAGGCGCGGGGTTAGCGGAGCCGGGGCCGGCGGTGGGGCAGTGGAAGCAGTGGGACCCGCTCGACCTGGCGTCGTCGTCGGCGTTCGTGAAGGAATTTGGCGATGACGACGACGACGCGTACGACGCACGGCTGGTGAACATGGCCATGGCGGCGGCGGCGGACCGCGGGCAGGAGGAGAAGGAGCGGCAGGCGTGGATGCGCATGGAGCTGCTGCTGGTGTGCTGCGCGGCGCTGTACATGGCGTGGCACTGCGACGCCGTGTCACTCGCGAAAGACGTGTACGTGCTCGCGCTCGGCTCCGGCTTCGCGTTCCTCGCGGCACAGTTCGTGGGGCTGCTGCCGCAGCGGTGCCGCCCGCAGCTGGGGGTAGCAGGGCTGGAAGGCACTGAGGGAATCCAGGGAATCCGCTGCCCTCTTCTCGTGCACATGGCTGCGACGAGTGCGGGGCTGGGCTCGTCTGGTGATACGCTGCCTGCTGCTGGCAGTGGGATGACGCCGTCCGCTGTAGGGGGCGGGGCGGGGGAGGTGTGGCGGGAGGCAGGAGAAGGGGTGGTGCTGGAGGAGGCGCAACAGCAGCAACTGGACACCAAACGCCATCGAACATGGGAAGCGGTGAGTCTTGACTGTAATGCACCTTGAGTGCCCTGTGTACTCTCAGTCCCCTGTGCACCCTGACTACCCTGTGTGTGCTGTTTCCCGTCCCTGGACAACCTTCTCTGCAACTCCCCACCACAGGGTCTCCACTCTTTCTGATCATTGTTGGCTTTGCCCCCCCCACCCACTCCCATGCAGGCCATTGAGGTGATTGGCCTGGTGTCAGCCCTGCTCGCCCTCTCAACCGTGCTGGCTCTCCTCATCAAGTCCTTCCACCTCCTCCTTTCCTTCCTCACCTCCTCTCTCTCACACGGAGTGGCACGGGGAGTGCAAGTGCTGCTCACATGGTTCTCTGCGTTGCAGCTCTCAGCCATCGCTGCGTGGCCGGCGGCTGGCTGGATGTCAACGACTGCAGCTCTTCCTTCCAGTATTCTCAGTAGTGATTTCGCTCTGCGAGGGGCCGTTCTGCCCCTGTCCCTCTCACTGACTTCGGCTGCTGCTCTCACTCTGCTGCTGCTGTTTCGTCCAGCCAATGGCGTGTCTCAGCGTGCTTAAGATTGTTTCTTCCTGTCTCTTGTTACTGCCATCATGGTCTTGTGATTTGGGCATGACCGTGCCTGGCTGGCTGTCCATGACTTCAGTTGTGTCGGTGCGTGTTTGCACTATAGCCCTCCAGCGTGAATTGCTAACAAAGACCTTCCCCAAATTGGGCAGTGCTTTGTACATTCTTATTGTATCGCATACGGTACATTCTTGAAATTGTCTTGCATCCAGGGCCTCCCACTGAACCCAGGGCATCCTCATCAATCACTGACTGTTCAGTGCTGGCTGAAATGTTTCCTGAACTAACGTACTCCCCCGGATAGAAGATCCCCCCAAAATACTATTGGAAACAAGTAACTTAAGCGCCTCTGTCGTGTCGAAACACCAAGTCAGAAGCGAAGCGAAACATATAGAAGCATCAGCGAGTCAACCCTCGGAGGTTGAACAACTGCTGGAGGTTACGCGAAAGTCAAAGGTCAGTGACCTTAGACCTAACAAGTTCAGCGCGACAGCAAGGACAAACAACTGACTCGCTATTGAGCAGTTGCCCGAGTCGTCACTGTATCGAACCGCAATAGCAACAGCAAAACAGTCATTAGTTATTAGTTACTCTTATAAAAGCTTGTATCTCTTTGTTTTAATCAATCTACTTTGCCCTCACTTACCAGCGCAAGGTGGTTCACAAATTTCTCATTAAACGCTTCCGCTATTACATTGTTCTACTCAGAGTTAAGTCCTGCAAAGATCCTAAGGGCTTTTCTCAGCCCAACATGGTATGAGAGTGTCAAGAACGAAAGTGAACAACACCTCGCTGAGGCTGACACTATCCTGGCCCCGAAACCTGCTGCTGCCGCTGCTGTTGCTGGGGCTGCTACAAGGGGAGGGGCTGCTGCTGCTGCTGCCGCTAGGCCAGGTACCACGCCGCTGCCCCACCCGCCGCGGCCGGCAGACCAGAAGGTGGCTGATGAGCCCAGGCGTCGCCTCCACCGGCTGCAGTAGCGGAGTCACCGGCCGCTGCACGCGACGCCTCTCCTGGTCCTCCACTCCCGCCGCCACCAGTCGGCACGCCACCCCCACCACCTCCGCCGCCAACGCCTCCACCGCCGCCGCCACCTGTACCCTGACCGCCCCTCTTGCCACCTCTACCTCGAGACCGCGAAGAAGTCGTAACAGCAGCTGCTGTCACGTCAGTAGCAGCAGTACGAGAGAGGCTGTAAAGGTGGGCAGCTGAGGGACAGTGCACCCGTGGAATAGTGGAGGGGGCACAACACCAGAGGCGGAGGCTACGGAGCGGAGGTTGCTCTCGACGTCCTTGAGCGCAGACTCAAGGACCTCGATAGTGAGCTCACTAGGGTGCTTCAGAAGAAGCGTGTCACAGACTGAGGCAAGGCGGCCAGGGAGGCTAGTGGCGATGAGATAGATAGTAATCGCCATGGGGGGAGGGAGCAGTGCAAGCTGTGCCTCAGTGCAAGCAGCGCGGTAGCTAGAATCGAGCGAGCGGAGGTGAGCAATCAAGTTAGCAGAGCGCTCAAACGAGGCGAGGTCAGGGAACAGGAACGGTAGGAAGAGTCGGCCAAGAGAGACAGTGGTGAGAGTAGAGTAGCGGGCCTTAATCGCAGTTAGGAACTCACTAGCAGTGCGAACCTGAGTGAAGTGGGCCTCCTCAGACTCAAGGAGGAGGCTGCTGAGAGCGATGCAGGCCGCAGCGTCACGCGAATTCCACGCCGTCAGGTCAGCACGCTGGCGGGTGAAGCGGTCCCTGGCTGTGTCGTTAGGGGCAGTGCCTAAAGGCGTAGGGTCGTCAGGCGCTGGAAGGTCACCAGTAGCGTGCGCCCGAAGGGACTCGCCCGCCTGAACCTGACTCTCTAAGAGGCGACGCGCGCGTAGGAGTCAGACCGGGAACTCGAGCGGTCTACCGTCAGCGTCGAAGCGAAGAACCCTAGGAGACGCCATAGTGTAAGTAGAGGCGACAAATCGAGCGGTGGGTGGCACCGGTAGGGACGGTAGGCGGCTAGGGCAAGTCCGTGACGGGAGCAAAACGCGGGCGCAATGGGGCTAGGGGCGGTCCCGCGGCAGACTGAACGTGTAGGCGCAGCGGTACGAAGGAAGGGCCTAACGAGCTGGCCCGTAGCGGACCTAACGAGGAGGTGCGGTGGTTGGCTGAACGGGCAGGCGCGGCGGCTGTAAGGGAGGGCCTACAGCGGCTGTAAGGGAGGGCCCGTGGCGGGCCTTAACAGTAGGCGCGGCGGCTGTAAGGGAGGGCCCGCGACGGCTGAAAGGGAGGGCCCGCGGGGGGCCTAACTAGCAGGCGCGGCGGCTGTAAGGGAGGGCCCGCGCCTGTTGTAAGGGAGGGCCCGCGGCGGGCCTAACTAGTAGGCGCGGCGATGGGCGGTACGGGCAGGCGCGGCGGCGAATCTAGGGCGCCGCGACGACGAAAAGCGGGGCGCCGCGGCGACGAAACGCGGGGCGCCGCGACGACGAAATGCGGGGCTCCGCGGTGACGAAATGCGGGCGCCGCGGTGACGAAACGGGGGGCGCCGCGGCGACGAAACGCGGGCGTTTAGGGCAGCGGGGGGAGGACGCAACGCGAGCGGGGGAGGGCGTGACGGGACGAGAAGCCGGGGAGAGCGCGACGCGATGGGCAGGAGGGGAGAAGGCGCTACGCTTCGCGGAAAGCGGGTCGGCGGAGCGAGCGCTAACGAACGAGCGAGACTGGATCAGGCCGGCGCTAATGAACGAGCGAGACTGGATCGGGCCGGCACTAACGAACGAGCGAGACTGGATCGGCCCGGCGCTAACGAACAAGCGAGACTGGATTGGGCCCGCACTAGGCTTGGGCAAGACGGGTACGACTAGTACGAGAGAGAGAGAGAGACAGGCTCGGACGGAACGAACGAGGACGAGAGGTGTGGGATCCCACAGGATCCTAACCTAGGTGATACCTGTCAGTAGATCTGCACTGTGGATGCCCGATTGATCCTGGAGAGGGTTACTGGCGCGTTCGCCTGGGGGGTTATGGGCGCACTGACACGCTACTGAAGCAAGCCCTTTTATCCCAATGGTCTAGTGGTTGGGATTCTGACATGGTATCAGAGCGGTCTCAAGTTCGATTCCCGGTGTATGCACATGTAGGCCGTTGCCGCTGTACTTAGTCCTGGGCCTCCCAGTGTGGGGGGGTGTCAGTAGATCTGCACTGTGGATGCCCGATTGATCCTGGAGAGGGTTACAAACGCGTTCGCCTGGGGGGTTATGGGCGCACTGACCCGCTACTGAAACAAGCCCTTTTATCCCAATGGTCTAGTGGTTGGGATTCTGACAATACCATCTCAAGAACGAAAGTGTTGGTTCATGGATGTGGGTTGGGGTATATATAACAGACCCTAACATCTGTACCCCCAAAGACAAACCTCACTACAGGCTACAACATTTGACAGAGAGCTATCAGGACAAATTCAACTACAATCAAGACACCTACAACATCACAAGGCATGGCAACGCAGAAGGAGAGAAACTCCTCTAACGGCTCTCCCGGTACTACTCTTACTCCACCTCCTGCCTCTGGTCTACAGACAGAGGAAGTCACAGCAACAAGACCGGCAGCTGGGTCTACCGAAACTCCCACAAATCAAGCCGCGGCCTTCGACCCAGACATGATGGAGAAATTCTTCTCCTTGATGTCCTTCTACGAACAACACCAGCAAGGGGCACCTGCGCAATCAAACAACAGCAACAACAACAACAACAACAACGCAATACCAATGAGCCTCGACGGTTCATCCTACGCACGAGGAAATCAACAACAACAATCTACCTTCACCCCGTACGGACCTCAGCGCGGTTCCGTCAGCTTCATGCCGCGCTAGCAGCCTTCATATGAACAAGAGAAGACATTAGATGCACTTCAAGTTCAGTCGTAGTTTGCACACGTCTTAAAACTGCAGACGTCAAGACCGTTTGATGGAAAGGACTTCTTTACCTGGTCATTCGAATTCGAGCTGATGACGGAAGGCGCGCATATTCTTGGCTTTTTCGACGGGTCCCTGCCATAACCAATACACGGGACGCAATACGACAAGCAGTAGTGTACATATCAATCCATGATGGCGTATACAATCCTACTACGCAACGTCACACCGAACCAGCAGCAGAACATTCGGTCTTACCGAGGATACGGGAACTCCGCCGAGCTCGCGTACAACCACCTGAAGAACCAGTATCAGGCAACAGACAGCGTTAATCAGAGTCGGTTAATGGCACAACTGATAATAGTGGAAATGAAACCGAGCGAAAAAGAGATGGCGTATATCAGCCGCTGTCGCGAATTGCGTGACAAACTCATTCGATGCGGAGGGTCGATATCAGAAGACGCCTTCGTCAGAGTCATCATCGGCGGTCTTGGTCCTCATTGGCGCTCCACTCGAACCATACTCCGAGCTCACGGGAAGATCTCCGAAGCAGCACTATGCGCCAAAATTCATGCTGAGCAGCAAGACATGGATCTGCAAGAAGAGCGACACAAGAGAATAACGTCAGTACCTGAATTTGCGTTTCACACTCAACGGCGCTACACCAGCAACAACAACCAGCATCAACAAAAACATGTACCTCCGTTCTGTCATCTTTGCAAGACGTCAGGTCATCCCCGCACACACTGCCCTAACCGGCAGCAGTCAGCACCAACGCAACGGCAGCTTCGACCTTCAAGCAGTCAAGTCGCCTCAACGCAAGCAAATCCCACCACTCAAGTGCAAACGTCAACAATGTCGACGGGACAACCTGCACAAGGAACAAGGAACATCGTCAGCTGCATGGCAAGATTGACCGACTCCTGCATCACCGAATCGCCACCGCACTACTCACTAGAAGAACAACTCGACGAAAGGACTCCACGTCGCGAGTCACTTCAACCAAACCCAACGTATGCAGCCATCGCCCAAAGCGAGCCGTCCGGGAAAGATAACTGGTTCTTGGATAGTTGCTGCGGACAGCACATGTGCTCTTCAGGACGATTC